CAGAACAGCACATGTATGATTTCAGACTGTAGTAGATGATACACCCGCTCCCGTGGTAAATTGCAGGTGTCAAGAAGGGTCTAAGGTTTTTTGTCCAGCAGCTATACAACTTCAAGTATGCAAAGGCTTATAAGTTTTGCACTTTTGGCATCCATACTTCACATAGTCAGGGCTATTCGCTTGAGAGTGTAGTTGGATAAATAGTAGCATGGAAATGCCTTCCAGCTCGACAGGAGCGAAACACTAAGGCAACAACGACAAACATACCTTGAGCACCTGTCTCTTGGAAGGGCGTCCATCCTTCGGCTGGTTTCCCATTCGGCCACCATGTCTGAGGTGGACGGTTTCAAAAAATTCGGTAACCCAAGAACGATATTCGTTGGACTCAGTTGAGGTTTGAGATAGTAGCAACCTACATATTTGGAAAAGGCGAAATCCACAGGCAGATGACAGCAAATCAGGAGCCGAGCTAATGAGTATACGGTGACCACTACACTGAAGTTCCGATACGAATATATTGATAGCATCGTAGCAGAGGGTGTGGATAGAGCTCCGTTGTGTCCCAGAGACCGGTTGGCATTGTGACGGATCGTCTCTCATCGGCTGCTTCAGGCCCACCGAAAGTCGGATTGAGGTTTGATCAAGCTCCGTACATGGCAAAATGTGCTGAAACTAAGGAATAAGATGAAAAGTAAAACGGTATGGACTACTCAAACCTTGCATGTAGCACCAATTATTATTGTGCATGTAGTGTGACCTGAAGAACAATAAATCGAGATGTGTACAAGTGACGAGGTAGCTAGAAGCCATTGACCTTAGTGTCTGGACCCGTTAATAATGTGTCAGTTGTACGCCGTAACGGCGCTTCGCTGCCGCGCGACCACCACCAGTCGCGCGCGGGCTGAGCATACCGCGAGGATGCCCACCCCTACGCGGATTCGAACCGCTGACCTTATGGTTGCAAACCAAACGTGCAGACCACTCGGCCACCGGCCGACCCGTTAGGCAAATACAACCCAATGGATATTTAAGATTACCTCGTAGAGGAAGGGTTAAAGCCTCGAACAATTGGAGATTATGATTCGTAAGCCATGCAGGTCAGTGACAAAAAACTCGTTTGGATCAGAGGTAAGCCGTGGACTGGATTACGGGTTCGTTCGTACTGAGATATGCCAGTCCGACTGATACCCACACATGAAGCTGTAAGAAAATGCGGACTTAACTAAGAACTTCAATATGAAAGTGGATGATACAAAACGTGTTCCCTACAAAGTTGCTTAAGCCGCTGTCAACCAGTGTCCTATATACAGGACAGGTGCATATAGGCCGGTAGCTGCTGTAACGGAGCGACCGGGTGATCCGGCCCATGTTCAAAGCTGACCTTAAGTTATGAGATGTAATAATTCCGCGGAGGCAGCTATGCGTCATAGGCGTGTGGGCGGCAGGTTGTGCACCGTGGTCTTAGAGGCACTTTCAAAAAACGAATATGGGAGAGAACGGATTAAGGTGAGTAATCACTATTGATATCAATGACGCCTGTGATAGAACATCTGGAAAGCGCACTAGTGCAACAGGACACACAGTTGAAACAGCGGTTTAGCAGGAATAAATGGCGAAAGGAAGTTAGAATTGCAATTTGAGGAGAGAAGTGCGAAAGAGCTACATGAACGTTCAAAAGGGGCGAAGGAAACTGCTCATCTGTTGTTATTCAGTTCCGCATCAAATCGGAAGATGGAGAAAGGGGCATTCTACGTCTCCACCGAAGATTTACGTGCACGGTAGTGTGATCAGAAGATAGCAGCTCACAAACTAATGAAAAAAGGTATCAGCAGTATGCCGGTACGCAGTAACGACGCTTCGCTGCTGCACAACCACTACCGGTCGTACATGGGCTAAGGGAACTGCGATAGCCGCCCAGTCCATACGCAGACTGGAACCCGTGCCCGCGGATTACAAGGAAAGCTTATGATCCTTTAGGCTACGCGCCGAGGATCTGTGGAATAATGACTGATTATGACGACAGGCAGTGAATGCCGCAAGGAAGCTGTCTAGCAGATGCCACATTATCCTTGTACGATAGCCAGCTGTTTGTGACGGCATGTTGACAAGGTGTAGGTGGCATAACCCTGAATGTTTGTCAAGAGTATTAAGGTATTACGCTAGGTCCCTCTTCTCTCCCAGTGATTGTTCTTCGCCCCGTAGGTCACCGTAATTGTACGGCAGCGAAGTATCCGTTCAAATGGTTGATGTACTGTTGTTGAAGATGATGCTACTAACCACACCAGATGCTGGAAAAGCGCCGAACATAAAATAGGAGATTGCTTTTCATTTGCCTGATGGCTCGTGATAGTAATGCTGCCTACCTTTGAAGGAACTGCTGGACACATTCCATTCCATCGCGAAACCGTTATACCACGAGTACAGCATTTGTGGGTCAAGTTGAGAGAAACGTCACTCTGTGAGATGAGGCACGATTAATTTATCTCCCTCTATACTCTTTTTTTTAGCATGAAAGCTTTATCGAGTAATCAATCGCCTAATTTGCAGTAAGCGAACGATACAATTGTTTAGCAGAAGGACGCAGTCTGACTGCAGGCAGTTCTGCATTGAACGACGCGAAACGTTGCAGGCTTGGCCGTATGCTTTGTACCTTCAAAGTGAATGTACTATTTCGTGGCCAAACCGAAATAACAACCAAGCGTGGCGTTACGACGCGGGGAGGGATCAATAGCCGTGGGTGGGTCTGTAAGCGGGTGCACTAGTAACTGAGGAAATACTGTGGATATAGACGTGCGCTGGCCTGTGAATGGCCGCAGCTAATGAAATCGTGCACGTCGACAGTGTGAACCGACGCATGGTTCAATGCGAACAAGCGACCTAATATGCTACACCGTAGCCAACCTGCCACGTAAAAGGTGATCAAAATGGCAGAGGCAAAAGCTCAGACGACTACAGGACCTAGATGCCATACAGCAGAGATATGCCTGGCTTAGAAATACAGTGGATATTCAGCACGGAATACGTACAGTCTACTGTTTTGACTTTTGATTTTTCCCCCTTTAGAGTGAACCGCCAGGCAGACAGCATTGAAGGTAGTAGTACAACAAGTGTGGTTGCAGGACTGGGTGAGTGTGCCATCCGTTGTCAGCATTACTGAAAATGTTTTGGAAGTTGGTTCTCGGCCTATCCACCCAGGTAGTTGTATTGCGTTCAGTGGTGACCTAATCAGAGAGAATCCTACATACACCAACAGGAATTTCAAATTGTTAGGCGGCCGTAACGAAAGAACTGTGATACGGATTCGAGACGTGATACCAATCTGATCTCTAGCGACACGTGGCGCAGGCTAGGGCAGCCGACACTCGTACAAACGCCCATACTGCACGGAATGTTTCAGGTGGTGCGCCAAAATGTCTTGGTGAATTGAACTGTCAAGTCAATTTCCGGGACCAGCAAATCCACACAACGTGCTTTGTGATAAATCGACCGGGGTTAGATTTGCTTGGAGTCGATTGGAAGAAGGAGTTGAAATTGCTTGATCAGCCACTAAACAGCGTACGCCAGTCACCGCAAGTCAACCAGCTGTCGCAGCCATCGTTATTAAGCCCGATGGTACAAGGTCACATGACGAAGATGAAAAGATGCAACGAAACAATGCTTCAGCCTGGTCTCGGATGCTGCAGAATGACCAGCGTTGTGCTGGACTTCGAGCAAGACGCTCAAACGCTCTTCAGAACAAGGCGCCCTGTGCCGAACACACAAAAAAAGAAAAGCGCTGCAATAGTCAAGTGGAGGAAGATCTGACAGACAGTCCACGTCATTTCAAAATTGGTGACTAGGTGTAAGCGCGAGAATTCCGAGGACCGAGGAGGTGGTCGACGGGAACGGTGATCGGCAGAAATGGTCGAGTCAGCCATGAGTTAATGGTAGGAAATAAGATAGGGTCAGGCACGCCAATCAGCTGAGGACGAATTACGGCAAGACTCAAAGTCCCCGAGGACCGCCATTCTTAGTGTGGGAAATCCTGCTAGACAAGTTTGGCTTGGAAGACGAAGCTAAGCGGCTACATGGATCACAACAAGAGTTGCAAGTAACAAGTGACGCATAATGCAGGTCGACCCGAATGCGGAGACGATCACAATGATTAAAAGTTGACCTTAAGGCGAAAAGTTGTGAACAAAGTCAAGTTCGAACGACACGCAAACAGACTCAATTCGAAAGGTATTAGGTACTAGGCCGCCACAACGAATGAACTCTGTGACAAGGTTTCGAGACGTGAAGTGAACCTGCGGCAAGTCATGCAGAAACCTGATGAAATCAGTCCGTCATCAAGACACGGGTTGCTACATGGCCGGCGTGAGGACGACTACAGCTGGCCAGCGGAGACCACTAGCGGGTTTGAATTTGTCTAGACAGATGATTTGAGTTAGCCCAGAAACGTGCAGCCGGGGGTGACGGTATGCGACTTATAAAAGTAACCGTGTTCTGTTCCTCATACACTTCGGTCTGGCAGGCCTCGGTCCTGTTTTTTTCCGGCTGGGTTTTGCAGCGCAGAGAGCAGATGCAAGGATGGTGCTATAACACAAATCGCTCATCGCGTGGAGACACAGTGGAAAAGGCTATCTACGAAAAGATAACTTCCAAACGTTGCGGTGCGGCTGATGAGAAAATAAGTATCATACGTATGAGGCTACTACTAGACATTGAATACGGACGTGTCGAATGCGCCATGCGGATGTGGAAAGTAGCTGCACAAAACTGAGGAACTTACCTGATCGAGGATAATAACGCTCCAGCGAATGTGCGAATAGCGACTGGGACGAGCGAGAACCGCCGCATATGTGGTCAGGCACACATTCACGGAACCGTGGGCGACAGCAGAGCGTAGACGACGGGTTGAACCTGACGGCTCATGTGGAGTCTTCGATGTGCGAGAGCCTAGACCCAGGCAGGTAACCTTGAAGCCAGGACACCAGTGAGATAACCGGCTGCGCCAAACCGGGAGGTAAAGGCGCGGAGTGACGATCAAGTGTGGACCCCAGTCCCCAAAGCCCGGATCAAGCACAGTCGATGTCTCCGGATCCGAATTGATAGGGTTGCATCCGACTGGGATGACTAGCTGACCAAGATGAGCCGCGACGGCAAGTTCAGCATCACCCGACATTGGATTGGAAGGAAGAAGTAATGCGGGTACCTGAAGAGGAAGCGCGTGGCGTAACCAACTGACGACAACGGCTGAAATGAAAAAGATGATGGGATATGAATTTCCATGCGACAATCGAAAACATAAAAACACCGGAGGAGTAGAGCTTTTGTGCCTATGTGATGTGAAACAAAGCTAAGAAAAATGACTGAATAGGCCGGAAATAGAAAGTATGGAATCTTACCTCTTAACATCTACATTCTAGATGAAGCGTTTCGTTTTAATTGCGAAGTAACACAGCATACACCGTTTCTAGGGATTAAACTAAAACGCTTATCCTTTTCGTAAGAATCACCATTAATTGGGCCTCCGAAAAAACAGATATCTGTCCAACAAAAGGATACGCTGACAGCGTATCAAGTATTCCATCTTTACTGGGAGCTCACCCTAAGAAGTGCATTGGTCACTCCGAAGTTAATATAAGATCACTTCGAAATGCGGGGGGGGGGGGGAGGGACGCTGATGACCGGGAAAAACGAATGGTGTGTCACAAAATTACGGTTGCAATGTGTTGAGGGGGAGGATCGAAATAAAGAGCGAAAAATGAATAATGATAGAGCGTATATAGAAAAGCACTTCGATCAAAATTAATCCGCACGGCAGCGAAAACAACGTAGTCCTGGATAAAGAACCCAGCGGAAACGTAGCTAAATTTTTCTCCGGGAGTGCAGTTACGTACTGGGACCTAGTCAGACCAGCTTACTGAATCTTAATAATGAAAAATAATGTGTCAGCTGTACGCCGTAGCGGCGCTTCGCTGCCGCGCGACCACCACCAGTCGCATGTGGGTTGAGTAAACCGCGAAGGCGCACACACCTACGCGGATTCGAACCGGTGTAACAGTTCCATAACCGCTTGAAGATGAAAAGAGTGAGAATACAAATTAAAAAGATCTTCACACGGAGGTTATTAAAGAATTGGGAAACTGAGGCAACCGTCCAGTTAATTAGACAGCTAAGGATGATGCCAGGGCTCTTAACCTCTTCCAGTTAACCAAGCAATCACGACACGATCCTTTAGTACTGACACCCAAGTGTATAGACAGCAGTAACTTCCAGTTCTCCAACGCTTGTCTAGGCGTTTGTTGAGCACCTAAACAGAGGGTAGTTGCAACTCGAGGTGTGACTATTGTCAAGGAGCCCGGTGCACTAAGTTAACAGTAGTAGTATCGCTGGATTAAGGAACATGTAGCACTGATCGGTTGTTTTTACAGCACCAAGGCCTCAGACAGGCCACCAGTAACAAATAACTACAGTACCTCATCGCGTGAGGCACCAGCAGTACGCCGGCACAGCGCACCGACTCGTCGCTGCCACGCGGCCACCAGCGGTTGCGTGTGAACTGGGTATACCAAGAGGCCACCCACATCTGAGCGGATTCGAGCCAGTGATTTTCGGATTACTAGACAAGTGCGTAGTCATTTCGACCATAGGCCAAAGGAGCCCACTTGGTCAGTACTGCAAGAGATGAGAATACATGGTGTGTTGTGGTCCCTTCAAACGTACCTGAATAATGCTTTCTCGTTACGACACTGATAACCGCTGTCAAAAAAGTGCAGCAAATCAGTGTGAGGTATGCGATAGAAGACCATTTTATGATTGCGCAACAGTTATTCGGTGATGAAGTAACGATATGATAGTACTGTTGCCGATATTCATGAAAGTAAGGTATAAGGAGAAAGCATGTATAGAAATGTGCGAGGAGACAAGAGTGGAAGTATACGACTATCACGCTGTTAGATTTTATTGGAAAATGCAACAACGAAACTTATGGTTATGCTGTGATCAAGGGAAAGGAGAGCAGAGTCCTTATATGCTGACGTGAAATAAGTGCTTAGATTGGCACGATGATGGAAGGTGCGCAAACTGACGGAGTAGAAATTGGCGGTAATTTTTACAGGGCAAGACACCAAAAACGATACGGAAAGAACAGTGGAGCAGGGGATATGATGATATTTGTCGAGAAAATAAAAAATCGCAGGCACCCAGTGAGGGCATACGTGTGCCAGCCGTATAAACGGTCAGTCCAGTAAAAAAAGCTTGGTTGCGAAGAACGTGAAGTTTGATACTCACCTATACTATACAGGGGGAGAGTGGAGAGACGAAAGGTTGGAAGATTTGCAGCCGCACACACATCGGCAGTGGTATTCAAATCCGTCAGAAGAGTTTTCAAAAGCGAAAATAAACGCAAGGCGTTTGATTGGATCTCAACGAGGCTAGACTTCGAAAGGTTGGACGATAAATTCGGACCCCATGGTGGGACGGTTAGATGAGCTGCTGGTCGATTGAAGGTAGTGGTAGTGTCGGAAAGCGAAAATAAGACGCCTCCGTCAGGAGGAACTGTAAAACTAACATTGTCGTTTGCACTAGATGAGTCCATTGCGGTCAAGCAGGTATCCTGTCCGGAAAACACAGACGACTGCAAGAACTGATGGGGTTCACTTGTGGTGATCCGCAGTTGTTTATCGCGAATAGAGAGGTAATCCTCGGGCAAAACCCTTTCTAGGGGAAGAAGAGCTTCCGAATTGAGTAGGTCCACTTCTGTTTGGATTTCCTAGAATACAAGCGAAAATAAAACAGATATGAAACAAGCATTTCCCTTTATGATTCCAAACACAAAAATGAGAAGAGGTAGATTGCGAGATGACGCCGTCATTTCGTGCATCCTTATCAGGTACAAAAAACATGTAACATCGAGACATAAATCGTGACCATAGACAGCAAAACGCATGGGCTACCACGGTAGGCCTAAAGCCACTGTCAGCCGTTTTTGAATGCACAGCGGTGGTCGTTCGCGACCGATAACGATAGTCTCCAATAGCCTAAGGATTTGGAGCCGCTGTACGCGCGTTAGGACTATGAACGACTTATCAGGATTGACTCGGTGACCAGTAGTCAGCAAGTGCCTGGTGACTGCTGAGGTAGCTCGGTTTCCCGAGTCGACTGATTCCGTCGTCACAGAGTCCATGCAGCTGCGTAACGACTTTGGGACGTGTTCATTGATTCTGACACCTAGACTTCGGGTAGTTCATCCCACGTAGCTGTCTCCACAGCTACAGGTACATTTGTATAGACAGTGGGACATGCACTGCTTTGTCATCGGTGTCTTAATGGAACACATTAGCATAGGTTTAGTGGCGATGAGGTGTCGTGAAGAAGCCTGTTAGGATAAGTTGCTAGACAAAGATGAGTAGCGAACAGGCTGACAATCACACCCTTTCGTGAAACCCAACTCAGTAGCTCAGGAGCTGGAGCAACAAATTACGGAAACAGTTATGGTGTGTGCGAAACAGACAAATGGTCTACTCACTAAATCGAATACCTATGGCGCAATCGAAGATGAGGCAGGCACAGCATACATCATTGGTTGGGAAAAAACACAAGGAAAGTAAGAATCGTTCCGGGTTATGATGACCATGTACAGCACCTCCGTGAGTAGTACATTCATCAACTGAGCTCTCCGTGAAGTGACTCGCAGTGCGCGACCATGAAGCACAAGCGTGCAGATACATAGGTCTGGACTCGGACGACATGGTATATTAGTGGATTAAAATATTGCGCTGCACAGACTGCGGTTTGGGTATACCCGCACAGTACTGCCATAAGGCGCTCCACTAACGCACATTAAAAGGAACTCGGAGAACATGAACTGTCGACGGTCCACCGTTTACGATGATAATAGGAAGACAAAATATGTTCAACTCGTGATGGTGGCGAGCTATTCTGCGAGCTGGATATTTCGTTTGCGTGGAAGTTTTACTGACGATGGTGGTTGAACCGTTCGCTGAACTTAGCAATTTTGTTGCAAGCATTTCGTCACCAATCGAGATGACATCCTCAGTGCGTAGTTGAGTGGCGTGCAGTAATGTAGAGGAGCCTTGGTGAGAGTGCAGTCTCAGTTTATTGGAGTAGCCGGTAAAACGGAGGTGCGCCACACGAATCGTTAGTGACAAATTAGATATGCAGTGGTTTTTCAACAATAGCTTCAAAAGGGAGGAGAGTAAGGGAGTATCCGTATGAGCGTAATGGAACGTGGGTCTGCTCCCAATAGTAGGGATTACACTGCGACCTGAACGCGGTTGAGAAAGACTGGAGAACAACACGGAGAAGGCACTGTGGCACGCAGTACAGACCTCTTTGGCTTTGGAGTACCTGATGAGTCTTTTGAACTTCTTATTTGCCTTAGGATTGCGCGGATAATCCATTCATACAATGCGTGCTCCAAAATGACCCCTTATGAGTTGTTTAACGTTGGGGCAAGCGTCGCCCGTAGTTCGGTGGCGTAGAAGTAAAGACCTCAGTTTATGACTTCTAGGTCCCGGATTGGAGCGGGGGTCCTTCCATCTCTACCGAAAAAATGCAAATAAGCATAATGCCGTACGTGGGGAGTATTGTGGCGAGTGATCAAGGTCTAAGATTTAAATGTTTCAGATACGATCCCAGTGACCGAAATGACCAAGACTGCGTGTCGCAATGTGTTTGCAAAATGAGTGCATGAAGTGAACAGGCGACAGATCTCAGGTATTTGAATCACCAAAGCCACATTCGGAGCATGAACATCATAACTGACCATCGCCCCGAATAGTGTAACAGGAGTGAACAATAATGAAAATCTAATTAGAACCAACGTCTCCGTAGGACGGAAGTAGGACAGTGCGAACCCGCTGGAGATAGTAAAACCTGAAGGTAAATCAAGAGTACACCGAAGGTTCGCTTTGGATGAATGATACTATGAAAAGCGTAATGCAGCCTGAGTTTAACCAACGAGGAGTACTTCTTGGAGAAACGAAGCCTAAACTCGCTCGTTGCACAACAATAACGATCCTCAAACGTGCCAAAGAACGTCCGTCGCACAGCGTTTTATAAACTCGTCTAACGAAAGAAGCAAGCACGATAAGTGGGGCCGCCCCTTAGAATCCAGTCAAGCAGATGCAAAAGAGACATTAAGGGGGCTGCGTTAGTGCTTTTGCCAAATGATAGCAGTGACAAATCCACGTGGACTTCGGAGGTAAAAAGACACCTCATCAGGTGCCATATGGCAACGTATTAGATGGCAACTGTATATGAGACAGACTACGAAAAGTTTCACTGTACTCATTTGGAATTTACATTTTGAGAACGGATAACATGGACGTGAGTAAAGAAAAATGACAAACAAATGACTTACTGAAGGGCAGGGATCAGCGTGTTTTTCATCGGCGATTGATTCATCGGGATTCTGTGTGAGAAGTATGTTTTTATCAGTCGACGTGTAGTCGGTTGAATCAGAGCTATGAAACCGTGGACTATAAGGAACCGAACTAAATGAGTTCTCCTCATTGTGAGGAGTACTTTGGTTTGATTTGCAATATTGCTGCTCAGCCTCAAGTTTCGCCTCTAGTTGGCAGAGATATTCATCCTGAGGATCCGGATCGGCAGAATATAGTACAGAGGGAATATGGAGAATGTGTTCGTCGGTTTTCCACGAGTTCAACTCCTCGATAAGCGGACGAGTTGGAGACAGTAATGGAACGCGAATATCAGATTCCTGTGAATCAAGATAGCATCCATCATAATCGCCATCTGTGTCACCGATAAAGCTAACTGCGCGGCTACTGCTCGTTGATCGACTGCGCGATTCATCACTGCCAGAGGTTTCGGTGCACGACGCAGGTGCCCAGTCACTGTCGTCAGTTTCTCCGTCGCCGACAGAAATGAATTTATCATCTTTGGGCTGGTGACTCCTTTTCAAACGGTTCTGTGATGAAGTGTTGTAGTGAACTTTGGCCATCCAAGAAGGGCATAAATCAGAAGCAGTGGCAAGAAGAGCAGTGTTCTGGTTAAGGAGGTGTCTGCGATGTTTTCCAGTTGCGCTCAAGCTAAGAGCACGGAGTTCCTACAAATAAAAGGAGAAAAGGAGATATAATAAAACTGCCGTGGATAGATGATAACCGTTGTCAAGTGGGAGGTGACGAAGATTCATTGTACCGAAATTAAAGTAGAGTCAACTGAGTGCGAACAGCTGGTCGAACACTTATAATTCAAGGAGAGTTTAAATAACAAACTGTTTTGGGGTTGTGTCATAGAGAATCTGCAATAAGCGAATGCCTGCTGTGAGCACAGGGAAGTGAGGTGCAAATCGTACTCGCTACTGAACCGTGTATCTTTCCGAGAGCGAACAGTTCAACATGAGAAAAATGAAAGGCATAATTGACAAAATCAAACACCAGTCTTGTGCATACCTTCCGTGCATTGCGCCACCATTCCCCGACCATCGATGCCACATATGCAGCGTTGCGCTTGCGGAGGACCTCCACAGCGACCTCGCATCGTCTGTTCCATTCCTGACGAAGCCGTAAATAGTTGCGAGCAGCATTGGCGAGCTGAAAAAGCAAAACGGTAACGTACGAACATCATTTCAGCATAAGGGTTCCAAAAGAGGCAGTGATCTTCAATATCAGGAATATCGCAAGCCTGGAGCCGTGGCCGAATGCTATATGAACATCTAACTACATTCTGGAAGAAACTTGGAACCGATTAATTAGTGAGGTGCTAGAAATCGCCAAGGCCACTAACTGCGTAAACAGAATGGACGACTGTGTTAACTCGGCCAGTCTGAACAACTTTGGCGGACGGATTCAGGTTAGAGCGAAAACATCGCACTATCATCACTAGAGCCAAGTCCAACATCAACACAGCCTCACATGTGAATGACCCATTACACGGATCAATTGGGAAAGTTCCATGCTCATTGTACCACCAAATTGACCCGTTGACCCTCCGAAACTGTAACCACAGTTATCCACTGACCCAGATTATCTCTCGCTATCTAATTTCTAATTTGCTATAAAAATCCAAACTAAGTCTGTACTAGTTCAGCTGGCCTGAAGAAGCGCTTGTGTCAAAGGCAAGACGTTGTCAAATTGCAAGCCTATATAAAACCGATTTGTATTCTAAAACCTGTGGAAATTATGAAACACCAAATTATGTTAAGAATACAGAGCTGAAAATTGAAAAGACGAAAAGTATGGATCATAGCGGGCCTGTGCGGACGTGAGAGACAAAAAGTGAGTGCGAGGTCTTGCTGATCGGAGATACGCGGATGTTTTCCACCGCAGAATATACCAAGCAAAATGAGGATCTCACGTATTCGCCAGATAGTGAGAACCAAGAATAAAATGAGTCAAAGCACAGTACATTCATAAACACTTACATTTGACGCAATCAACCGAGTACGAGATGAAATTTACTGAACTAACAACGTACTAAAAACGTGCCGATCGGTGAAAATAAGTGGTATATTAAGGTTACATGTGGATGTGACACTTAATTTCCGAAGTATTCGCTGCAAATGATACATAAAATCAGCTCAAACCGAGCTGTGGAGTCCGTACTAGTGAAGATACGAAGAAGTTCTGTTGTGAGAATCTGAGCCCGCTAAATGCAGACGCACTTTGACGCCAATACCCTGTGTTTTCGTGAGCGTAAAGAATAAGTGCCGTGTGCTAACAAAGCTAACAGTGAGTGCTAGGTCAAGAAACAGTGGA